ACACACACACACACACACACACACACACACACACACACACACACACAGAGGCATGCACTGTTATACACACATCAAAACATTTAAAACAATTAAAAATCTTTAAGAACACCTATATAGAAAGTAGTATTCTAAAGTTCAAGGAGAGATGGGCACCAAGTTCACCATTAGCTGATTAGCTATTGCCAATTAATATCTGCTAGGAGAGCAAGGGTAAGTTTTCGTTTAAGAGCACAGTCCATGATGAGTCAGCCATACTCCAATGGAAGGACACACACTTAATTGCACTTAACTGGCAAATATTGGCCTTGGTGGAGATTGGAGAAATACACAAAGATGGATGAAAGATTACAGGATGCAGAACTGGAAAGACAAGGGAGAAGGGGTGAATATGACAAACACCATTGTATGAAAGTTTCAACAAGCTTGTAAAAATATTTTTAAAAGAAAAGGCCACTCATCTTAAAAAGAGGATCAAGAACTACAGTATAAAATCTGGGCTATAAAGTTCCTAGAAATATTTCAGCATCCATGTAAGATCCACTAATATCTGAAGCTTTGTTATAAAAAAACACAAAAGTATTATCTAAATAAAGAAAACACTAATATCTTGGATTTCAAATTTTAAAAAATGGACCTAACATATAACTCCCATGTGATGAAGAATAAAAAGAGAAGTTCCAGGCAATCCAATTCAAATAGGCAGTGCTTTTCTAGATGCTTACTGTTTAGGATATATTTCTGTTTTAATAATAAAAATGGTATTACATTTCAGATGCTTAAACTCCCTTGAGGAATAACTACTTTAAATAAATCATTTGCCATAATTATACCAGATTCATTTAGTGTATGTTATTTTAGGACTTTTGTGATATAAGCAAATTTATAAATTTGAATAATAATGAAGAAACAAACATTAATTATGCAGTAAAAGTAATGATTTTCAATAATTAATTTTATGATTTTTTCAATGCCTATTTGTACTGATATTGATGGAAACATTATATTGACACTTATTAAAATGCTAGGGAAGATTGTATTTAGGGCTATCAAAATTGAAATGTATCAGTAAAGTAGCAACTCTATTCAACTATAAGTACAAAGGCAACCTCTAGTGTGATGGCTATACTTGGTTTAAAACCTGCCTACATGTGGAATTAAAGAAATCTCTGCAGTGTCTCTACGAATCCTTTTCTAATTGGATCATTTGAAGTAAGAAGTTCCACCTCTAGTATGAATCTTTGAGGTAGAAAGATACACCTTTAATCAAGATCATTTTGAAGGGGAGCGACCACCTCTAAGTCTGGCCACACTTTCTGCTGGAAGCCTACATAAAGGACATGGTAGAGGGATGATCTCTTTCTTTATAACCATTTTTGCCTGCTTTGCTAGCAAGATTATTTCACTAGTGTTAAAGCCTACTTCTTTAGTATACTAACCTATATTGAAGACCAGTTGAGACATCCAGCCTCATGAACTGAACAATTACTGGATTCTTGAATCTTGTGTGCAGAAGCACCTGCTTTAAGTTTGCTGGACCACAGACTGTAAGTCATTCTAAAATATTCCTTTTTATATAAACCAAATAAAATATATTAATGTAATACAATAACATAAAATATTTATACTATATATAAAGGAGATCTCTGTGTGTGTGAGAGAGAGAGAGAGAGAGAAAAAGAGAGAGAGAGAAAGAGAAAAAAGAAAGAGGGAGAGAGAGGGAGAGAGAGAGAGAGAGAGAGAGAGAGAGAGAGAGAGATTTTCATCCTTTAAATTCTGTTCATCTACATTACCCTAACTAATACATCTAGCTAGGATGTGATAATGTAAATAGGCCAGGATTTGGAAAATTACTAGGGTGATGAGTAGTAATGGTATAATTACATGACTTCAGCTGAAATCAAGTGCAGGCAGTGATGGAGAAAACAATGTAATCAGAGATAGGCATGGCAATGTGTGCCCCAATCCTACTATTCTAGGAAGAAGATTTTTGAGAATCTTCAAAGTTCAAGGACTTCTTGAACTACATGATTGTCCAGAGCTAAAGAAAGATGCTGCATGATAATTGCTCTTGTCAAATTCATGTGATTTAGATTCACACGAAAGTCAAACTTCTGTATCTGTTTGTAGAAATATTTCCTGAGTAGCTTACCTGAGGTGGAAAGACCTACCCTGAATGCGTATCACCCCATGATCTGGGGTCCCAGGCTGAATATGAAAGAGTGAATGGGTTGTCACAGAGCAGTCATCTCTCCCCACTTCCTGAATGTTGAGTCAATGTGGTCAGCCACATCATGCCCAGACCACTCAGTTTTCCATTCCAGTCTGGACTGTACGTTCAAACTATCAACCAATGTAAATATTTCTTACGTGGAATTATATTTAAAGGTATTTTATCAAAAAACTCTGATGATACTTTGTTTGTGTTTTAACAAATAAAGTTTGCCTGTCTATCAGAGCTCAGAGCTAAGCCACTAGAGGCCCGGCAGTGGTGACACACACCTTTAATCCCAGAACTTGTAAGGCAGAGGCAGAAGGATCTCTGTGAGTTCAAGGTCACTCTGGTCTACCCTAGATTGATCCAGTCTCAAAGAGAAACACAGCCAGGTGGTGGTGGCCCACAGCTCTAATCCTAGCACCAAAGAGGTGGAGACAGGAAGTGATATGGCTGATTGGAGGGAAGAATATAAGGTGGGAGAAGGTGGGAACTCAGATGTAATCTGAGGCAGCAGTTTGAAGAGGTCAGTCTGAGGAGCAGTCTAAGAATACAGTCTGAGAATTCTGTCTGAGGATCAGAAGAGACAGGATCACCCCCTTCAGTCTGAGGGTTCAGTAGAGTTAAAAGGTTTCTCTAGTGGCTGGCAGTACTGCTTTTCTTATCCTTCAGCGTTCACCCCCTAATATCTGACTCTGGGAGTTATTTAAGACGAATTAGAATCCGTGCTACAAAAAAACAACAAAATAATGAGGACAACTTATCTCAAAGAAGGAAAATGAACTTGATTAGCTATTGAGAGAAATTGTGAGTGGTTATCCAAGTTTGGTAGGTAAAGACAAAGGTTTGAAGGCAGCTTGATAAAGAAGGCCAGAGTTGCCCAATTATACTCAATGAAAAAATCTCTGGGAATAGCCAGATGGTTCAACGGGTAATGGCTCTTACCATGCAGCCCTGACTGTCAGAGTTTGACTCTAACGATCTGCATGGTAGAAATGGGAAAACAATCTCGTTTTCTCTGCAATTTATCCTTTGAACTTCTACATGTACAACATTACGTGTGCATATTATGGCATCTGTGTTTACATGCACACAAACATATGCTCACACACATACGCAAACAATTATTCTTTGTCTCTAGTATATTATAGATCTATGAATCACGTGCTTTTTAATTAATTTTATCTACCTGTGATTTTAACATAAATTAAATGGATACATGCCACTTTCTCTTTGAATATTTGCAATGACAATAACAATTACTGAGAAATAAAAGAACTGACCTCATTCTTGTTAATAAAACAATATGTAAAGAAGTGGTAATATCATGAGCAAATTTATGGTAAGTTTTTGAGGAAAATATAAAAGGTAAACAAAGAAGGAGTAATAGTGGAAAAACTGAAAAAGTAATGATCAGGAACTGGCTTTGAACAGAATATTTTAATAATACCTCATTAAGGGATAATTCAGCTATAAGAAAATGAACAGAAAGCATCCTGGGCAAAGCAAGCTGCCCAAGAGACCGAAGCAAGTCAGAGACATGCAAAAGTACTCCATGAGCTCTACGTCTCCACACTGCCGTTCACCATTTATTCTTCATCCTGCCGTCTTTGAACTCAAACAGGCATCTATGCTGGAGCTTCCAGTGGCTGCTGTCCTCACACAGACAGCACCATCCCCGTGCTAAAGTGACAGTATCTGCCCAGTTCTGTCACACCTCTGTGCCTGGTCTCTATT